GTGCAACCAAGGCCCGCTTCCCACCAGGCCCTTGGATGCGTCCTGCCGTTTAAGCGCACTGGTTCCATCTCGGGGGTGGGTACAACAGGGGGGTTTGCGGTCAGTTTTTGGACAGCACACGGCACCCCCCCCCCACCCTTTGGCCACCCGTGTCAGTTGATGCAGGGCACGCTTCTATGGGCCGCTGCCGTTGTGTCGTAGTTCGCAAAAGAGTCCGGACCTGTTGGGCAGGCCGGGAAACCTGGAGCGAGTGGCAACGGCGAGAAACCTAGATCAATGTATACCTTGTGCCTTGCGATGCATGCCCGTCACTTTCCCTGTGTCCTTTCTTGCACATGAACACCAAACGTCGCACGCAGAATGTCAATCATAAACTTGTCGTCATTACCGCTCTACAGCCAGCAAGACCTCGAGGCTGGCGCCCTGTGGCCGCCGGAGCGAGGTGTAGTTCAAAGAAACGCACCGTGCCTCGCTTTCTCTATGGCAGTCCCAAATTTCCCAATGCTAAATAAATAGACGAAATCGAAGAGTAAAGCCCCCCCCTTAGCGTCGCATGACGCACGGGCACGAAAAAACGCCGATCGCCGTGTGGTGCATGAGCTGAATGATGTTCGTCGCATGCTCTTTGTACTCGTATATCGCCGACTGTGCTTCATCAACGTTCCTCGGTGTCTTGCCGTCAAATACCACCCGCTGCGTGCCAGATTGGCTGTTGCGTGGTGTCACCCCTTCCAAACGCTTGTCATGTTCATTCTCTCTCGGTCTGTCCGTGTCCAACACAAACGGTGTCCAACACGGTCCACTCTTTTCTGTTCGTCAACGCGAGGGCGAAAAAACTCCTTCGAGCCTGTCTCTTCTCGTAACATGCACCGCTGCCACGAAGCATGCTGCATCGTCATGGCCTCTCTGCAGAGGCAACACCACCAGACATCTCCACTGCCACTAGCCCACCACCGCCAGCAGTCCCGTCCCCCTGTCCGTCCCGCGGCGCACGCCCACGCCGCCCCTGGCGTCACGCGCCCGGCCAGCGGGCCACGGGGCCCCTCCGGCGGCGGCGGGCGTCGGGGTCGCGGCGGCCCTCGCGGCAGGCGCTGACGCAGTGCATGAGCATGTAGAGAAAGTGCAGAATGGCGGCGGCGAGCTGCAGCCAGGTGTACCAGGGGGCCCAGGTGGCCTTGTCGTCGCGGTAGGGGTCGTCACGCGAGTAGGCGCGGCCCTGCTGGGGCCGCCAGCCGCGGCGGATCATGACGTAGAAGAAGGAGACCATGCCGAGGACGCAGAGGAGGAGGTCGAAGAGGGCGAGGAAGGCGGTGCGCAGGCGGGGGATCTGGTGGGTTGCGTTGGCGAGGGTGACGAGCTCGACCATGGAGAAGAGGATGCCGAAGATGACCTGTTGGGTTGTGGGCGATCTCGTCAGCATTTCTCTTCGCTCTCTCGTTCCTGGGGGGATCAAGGCAGGCAAGGGAGGGAGCAACTCACGGCTACGTAGCCAATGGGAAAAGAATCGCCATAGCGCGAGAGGGTGATGAGCGAGGCGAGGGCGCAGACCTCGACGACGATGAGCAGCAGGCGGCAGCAGAACTGGAAGACGCCGTAGAGCGAGGGCACACGCGAGCGAGCCATGCCGGTCGGTGTGTATGTGCACGAAGCTGGCGCACCCAAGGCCGGGGGATGAGGTTTTTTCCTTTTTTTTTGGTCTGACGAGAAAGCGCTCGAAAGACGGCAGCGGCCGAATGAAGACGACGGCGCTGGCAGGGCCTCTCGGCGCAGGCGGTCGTGGCTACCGAGTCGCCTGGCGTTGGGAAGGCATTCGTAGGCGGGTCGTATGCTCTCCCGGGAGAGTGTGATTTGATGACGGCAAGGGCTCGTATTCCGTTTGACCACGAAGGGGGGGCTGGATTTTGTTCGCTGGTCGGCTCTCTTCGTTGGGATGTCGTTTGGTGGATGGGACGCAGGAAGGAGAGATGCACAGCAACAAAGGGACGGGACGAGGACGACGAAGCTCCCCTAACGTCTCCTCGAGCAATAACCGGAACGGGGTCCAATGGAGGGAGGTGCCTGCCTCGTGGTGGAGGTGGAGGTGGAGGTGGAGGGAGGGACGATGGAGCATCGGAGAGGCTGGCCGCGGGAACCAACGAGCAGCGGCCCATGACCAACGGTGGGACCTGAGGAGTTGTAGTGCGGGGGCTTTGGCGTGGCCCCTAGAAGCAGCTACGACGTCCCCTGGAAGGCCCTGGCCCCTGGGAAGGCACCACCAGTCCGCTGAGAAAGGCACCAGTCCGCTAAGAAAGGCACCAGTCCGCTGAGAAAGGCACCAGTCCGCTAAGAAAGGCACCAGTCCGCTTGAGAAGCCCACCGAAGTCCCCGAGAATTTTCCCCTGGAGCACCCTAACGTGCCTTGGGCGGGATGGCCTCGCTCTCAGTGGCTGCGCACGACGCTGACGGCTTGGCGGTCGTTTGTCCGTGCTCCATGGAAATCATGAAGAACAGCCTCTTCCGTCAATTGAGTCGTGCTCTCTCTCTCTCTCTCTCTCTCTCTCTCTCTTCCCTCTGAAACACAAGAGCCAGAGTGACCTGTCGCCACGACCTCTTCACACGCGCAAATGACGGCCACTAGCCCCTCTGAAGAATGCGGGGGACATCATGTCAGTGCCCTCACAGACCACCACACCAACACGAGGCGGGAAATCCCTCCTACACCCGTGCATGACTCGCAGGCTTCCAGAACCATTTGGCGTTTCCCCCCTAGCACCGATGGGGCGTGCCTCGGGGGTTTCTTGGGATGAATACAGCCGCCCCGTCGTAGTAGTCGGCCGAGACGATGGCGACCCTTGGGTGATGACCACGACTTCATCAATGCTCTTGTCAACTGGCTCGGACCAACAGAGTGAAATACACGTCTGATTCTAGACACTCGCTTGTCTTAATAATGATACAGCCGCCATGCGGTCTAAGTATACAAAAATGGTACAGCCCCCCCCTTAGTTAATCAACTCTTCGAGGCACAATGCCTCCCCCGAAATAGGATGCTGGTAGTTTTCCTGCCAAAACGCCCGCCCCCGCCTTGTATCAAAACGCCGTCCCGTGCACCATGCACCATGCACCATGCACCGCCGCAAGCATCACCTCACGAGAAGAAATACTCGCTCTCCCGTAGTCGTCGCACGTCAAAATCGCCCTTCTTCGGGATCGCCGGGAACGACAACGGCAACCAGATCTGGATCGTCCTCTGCACCGGCTTGCGCTTCTTCGACTCCTCCGACGCGAACACGACGCTGTTGAAGTGCGACTTGTCCATGGCGCTGACCACCTTGCCCCAATCCTCCGTCGCGCCCTCGTCGGGCGTGGCCGCCGACGCCTCCTCGACGTCCTCGCCCTCCTCGCCGCCCTCGCCCGCATACTCGGCGCGTGCCGCGGCGAGCGCCTCCGCCTGGATCGCTTCAATCGAGTTGGCGCCCTCGGGAATCTCGCCGAGACCGAGCTCTTCCATGTCCTCCGGCTGCGCGAGGGCCTCGGACGACGCCATCGAATCAAAGATGCTCGCCGGCGTCTCCATCTGACGGCCCTCTTCGACCAGCGCCGCGTCGTCGGAACGCAGCAGCTGCTGCCTCTTATACTCCAGCAGAAGCTCCTCCTTGGTGTTCATCCTGTTCTGCTTGCGCCACGCCGCAACCGCCTTCTCGACGGCCGTGCCGTGGTTGACCTTGGCAAGGTAGATGGAGCCCTTGTACCGAGCCTCAAACTCGGCAGCAAGACGCCCGATGACGTCTTCTTCGTGGATGCGGATGAACGAGTCGCGAAGCACGCGGTTCATCGAGTCGATATCGGCGGCGTGGGTCCAGAACGAGTCGTGAACGGCAGCGAATGACAGCCCGAGCTCCGAGCACTCGAGTGCCGAGAGCAGCATGTGCGTGGCGTCGAGGGAGTGGATAAAGTTGGGCGGGAACGCCTGCAGCTGCTTCTTGCGGTTGACGGGGTCGGAACGTTCCGGCACCGTGAGCGACAAATCCTGCAGAGACGTCTTGATGATGCGCGTGCCTGACTTGCGGTACGGTTGAGCGACGGGCATGCGGAGAGGCGTCGTCCACACAATCGTGGCGCGGAATTGCGCGAGAAGGTCATCCGTCGACGACTCCTTCTTCTCCGTAATCTTGAACCGGTTGACGGGCGATGGCGAGACGATGATGCCGTCAGACGCGATCCGCTCCAGTTGCTCCGCGGACAGGGCACGGCAAACGCGGCCGCCAATCTCGCCGAGCCAGTACTGAATATCGTGGGCGCCCCTGAACATGGACGACAGACCCTTGAAGATGAGAGTCGCGATGTACGAGGCAAGCATCATTGAACTGATGCCACTCTCTTTGGGAAGATCCGGGTAAATGGCATCAAGCTGCTTGAGGACCTGCTTCTTGGCGCCCTGGAACGTGACACCGTACACGTTGGTCATGACAGTCTGCTTGACGACCTTTCGCGTGATCTTGCCGTTGACTGCGATGGCGAATGGGTTGTTCGTCTCGAGATCCTTCGCGATGTAATCCTTGACAATGTTGGCAACGGCTGAGTAGACGTCTGCGGGCTTGTCGCCAGGCTCGAGGTTGACCTGCTTGGCACCCCATGTGTCTCCGCCCAGTGCGGCGTAGTGCTGAAGACCGTTGCAAGTTCCATCCTGGTGTACGGGAAGGTGAGATACAAACTTGGTCGGCTCCGGCGACTCAAGCGCGGCCTTGAGCTCAAAGCACGCGGCGAGGCACTGCCATGGGTCCTCGGCCTTGAGCCACCATCGGTTGCCCTCCATGGGCTTGCTGGCCGAGTCGAAAATGTTGACCAGGTTGTCCATGGCGAAAGACTCGCGCTCCCGCAGACTGGCCTTGTCGAAGCCGTACACGTTGGCGAGGTGAACCTTCAGCCACTTGAGGCCCTTTTCACCAAGCTCCTTGCCATCGGCAAAGCGGAGGAGGCCGCGGACGTGATCGGCACCCATGTGGTTGAGGTATGTTGGCAAGGGGTAGGCGCGGCCTCGGAAATCGATGTTGTGGGGGAAGTAGAAGGTCTGGTTGCGGAACGCGCGCGCGATCTCAAGCTGGAAGTTCATGAAGCAACGAACAGAATG